GTTAGCACGGCCATCCCGGCGTCGTGTGCACGGGACTCAGGCGGGATGCGGGGCGGGGATTGGGAGGTGGCTAGTAGTGAAGGAAAAGGTCGATCTGGGGACCCCCACCGTTACGGATCACACGTAGGGACTGTGGGGCGGTGACTTGGCCTCCAGATAGCCAGCAGAGCTCGTTGTTTACTTCTACGTATTTTCTTCCTCCTCTCCCTTAATCCATCACCCGGAAGTGGGCTGGGACCATAGGCTGACAGCCTTGGATGAGTTGGGGTTGTTTTCTGAAACTTCCTGGGCTGCTGTCCCGTTTGAACCATTTTTGTCAGCTTCGATTCACCTTTCCATTCCAGGGCCTTGCCGGAGATGGACAGCCGGATTCCTTACGATGACTACCCAGTGGTTTTCCTGCCTGCCTATGAGAATCCCCCAGCGTGGATTCCTCCTCATGAGGTGGGAACCATCTGTACTCTCGAATAGATTTTTCACCATGGGCATGAGATGGTATATGATGGGTAGGATGGCAGGGTTAGAAAGCTCAATGCAGGATGAATCTTAGCCTTTGTTGTAGCCAAGCGATCCAGAAGTTGGATTCTCAGCAGCCCGACCCACTGGGAGCCAAAGTCCACTGCACCAGAGAATTCTGGAATTCTGTTTCCATTCTGTCAAGGTCAACAAGTGCAGAGATACTAGACTGCTAGCACTTCCCAGAACTATCCATCTACCCATTTGGACAGTGTTACCTGTTCTACTTAAACTAAGTCCACGACGTCACCTTTTCCCGACTTCAGGGTGATGCGTTTGTGCACCGGACAAAAGTGGGTATAAAACCTAAGACCGGTAGTAAGATTTCTGGGGTCGCTGTGTCTTGCAGAGGGTATACCATCCGGACTACAACAATGAGTTGACGCAGTTTCTGCCCCGAATCGTCACACTGAAGAAGCCCCCTGGAGCTCAGGTGAGCTTATGGAACAGTGCCGTCTCATTCCAGGCTAGAGTTGTCAGAACCAGGCCCAGAAGTTAGCCGTGGCTGGGGGGGGACAGATCGGGAAGGAGGTAGGGAGGTAAGGCCACTCCCTTTTATAGGCACAAAAGCTGAGCTACCACTTCTGAGATACATGTTCTGACCTCTTTCTGAGGGACACACGGCCAAGCTGTCATGTGATGATGCTATTTGATGTTCTCGTGTCTGTGGTCTTCATTGAGCCCCCGTTCCGTGCTCTCGTTTTGCAGTTGGGATTTAACATCCGAGGAGGAAAGGCTTCCCAGCTCGGCATCTTCATCTCCAAGGTGCGTGCGCCTGGTAGGCAGTGTGGATGGCTGCTTCCCTTTGTTAAGTTATCGGATGGTAGAACCCTGATGGCCTAAGGCCTGGGAGAAGGATGATTCAGTAGACTCATAGAAGGGGCAGAATGTGGACACCCTTTGTCACTTCAAACTTCCCACCTGGCAAGCATCTGTTTTTTTTAAACGAAACAATAGCACCTTACATTTGAATAGCACTTCATTTCACTTACAGTCTTTGAAGTGATCCCGCCTGGATCACATACAGCCTTTCCTTCCCAACAGGTGATTCCTGACTCTGATGCACATCGAGCAGGACTTCAGGAAGGGGACCAAGTCCTAGCCGTGAATGATGTGGATTTCCAAGATATTGAGCATAGTAAGGTGAGCACAGCGCTCGGGCTGCGGTGAGGCAAGAAGCCATCCCAGGTAGGACAAGTTGGACCAGATTAGCCTCATCTGTAATTTCATTAAAAAAGACCCTCCTGAGGGAGCGGACCAGGGGGAAGTAGCTGTTAGTGACCCAGAGGTTGGAGTGGCCGACTCCTTTCCTCATGCTGTGGTTCTGTCCCGGGTCACTGCTCGCCGTTTGTACAAGCTGTTCCATTCCTTTCAGGCC